ATCCTCTAAGTAACAATCCAACTCTGCCTTCCCTCGGCGAATACTAATTTCTTTTTCCATAAACATATCAAAACCAGCCATATATCCTTCAACACCTTTACTAGTACGAACAATAGTGTGAGAGAAAGGTGTATTGAAAGAGGGTTGATGTTGATAACTTTCTTGCCTTCGTTGGTATTGAAGAAACAAATTAGAACATAAGTTTCGAATCCTCATAATTTCATCTTGTGCATCATCTCCATAGATCAAAGGAAAGAAATATTCTTATAACTTCAACTTATATCTAGGATCTAAAACTATTGCAACCCCCATTACACCATGAATGATGTTCCAATACTTGCTAAACTTTTCATCCATCTTTGTTGCCATTTGCCTAATCACATCATTTTTAGATCTCAACCAAGAAGACAACTGAATTCTAATCTCACAGATTTTTGGAAAATAAATATTGGTTGTGGGATATGTTGTTCCGAAGAATAAGAGTGTTGTCTCGTAAAATATTTTTAACTTTCCTGAAATTTCTTTAGCCAACTGCCATTCTTCCTCGGTTGGCAAACATCTAAAATTTGGCTCACGAGGTTTTAAACGGCTAAATACTCCTTTTTAAAGGAAAGTCGTTTCAAGCATCAAATAGGTGGAGTTCCACCGAGTCCTACAATCAAGAGCCAGCTTCTTCGTACATCGACCGCCTGAATGAGTTGCGATTTCATCAAAACGTTGTTGTCTCTTAGGCGATGTCGTCCAATAAGCAACACTATCACGAATCTTTACTATTGCTTCTGCAATCACTGATAGGCCATCTTGAATAATTAAATTCAAAATATGTGCACAACAACACATATGAAACAAATCACCATGTAGCATAAGCGATGAGCGTTCAAGCTCTCCCAAGATATCTTGAACTACTGCATTATTAGTGGAGCAGTTATCTACTGTCAATGTAGAAAACTTCTCATCAATTTTCCACTCAAAGAAATTATCCATCAAGGTTGCAGAGAACACATCTTTGGTATGTGGGCAAGGCACATATAAGAACCTGCAAATAAATTAAACAAAATTCATATATTAATAATAATATAGCTACACAATATGTATGAGGAAATAAGAATAATAAAACATAAACATGTAATACCTTAGAAGTCGACTTTGTAAGACCCAATTGTTATCGATAAAATGTGTTGTCACGGTCATATATCCTTTGTTCTGATTTGTTGCAGTCCACAAATCAGTGGTGATAGCAATTCTTCCCAAATTATTTTTTAACATTTCCATAGACTTCTTCTCAACTTTATAAATCTTCATAATATCCTTCTTGATGGTCCTTCTACAGACAACCGTAAACAAGGGTTGCATAATGCTACAGAATTTTCTAAACCCCACATGATCAACCATGGCAACAGGGTACTCATGTAGAATAATCATATTTGCCATTTCGTTTCTTGCCGCCTCTTGGTCAAAATCGTAAGTGCTTAATGTCCTCTTAGCATCTTCTCTCTGGCTCACCACAAGCAACTTTTGTGATACATCTCCATACTTTCTCCGTAGGCAGACTTTATAGTGATCATGCAAATGTCGTGTTCCATTTTTATAACCACCAACAAGTTTTTTATGGTAGTAGTTACACTCTGCCTTGTCCTTACCATCAACTTTGACCTTTTGAAAATGAAGCTAGACAACTGACTTAGTCCTTCCACTTCCAATAACACGATTTTCTTCAGTTGAAATTTGAATAGGGCTTGAATGAGGTTTGTGGTTAGAAAGTGTTTCTTCAGAATCACCACTTCCTTCAGGTGGAGATTGCATTTGGACACTTTGAACAGTTGTAGATTGCCTTCGGGGATTGATAATCGAAACTTTCTTGGATGAGTTAGAATATTGATGTATGTCCTGTTGAAAGCTCTTTCTTTTGCCATGTAAATAGTGCGGATTTGACATGGTCAAATCTAGAACAATCCTACAGCCACAAAACATAGTTAATTTCCTCAAAACACCAAACAACAAAAGTCAATTAGACCCGTATTAAAAGACTTCCTGCCACGGCCCCAAACAACCCTCAAGTCGCCAAAAATCTCCCATTGAATAGCTGCCCACAAACATGACCCTACAAGCTCCCAAAACCCCACAAAACCCCACCAAGACAACTCACAAAAACCCTACAAACTCCCCAAGACCCCTAAAAACTCCACCAAGACAGCTCACGAAAGCTCCACAAACTCCCCAAGACCCCTAAATACCGCACCAAGACAGCTCACGAAAATCCTTAGAAACAACCAACCCACCGTGACACAACTCGCCCACAACTAAAAAACCCTCCAAAGGCATCACACAAACGAGCATTTATAAGATTCTTTCTAGGAGAGAATACTATTGGAGCTACCTTATAACATATTTTTTCAAAGAAACATTACTAAGAAGAATGATTGTTTTACCTTGTCTAAGAGATTAAGAGTTAGAGAGTTGAAATTGAGAGTGTGGAGGCTGGAGAGTGGAGAGGATGCTTGAGTAGGGATGAGCGCCTGAGATGTGAGCCACACTGCCATAGGCCCACAGAATCGTGTTTTAGGGACTTCAGCAGCAAGACTTTTGAGTCTTGACCTAAGACTTGAGAGAGACTTGAGAGTGAGATAGTGATATTGTAATTGGCTGATTGCGAATTGAGCCCTAAAACAATTAAAATTCTTCTTTTGTCTTTCCTTAATTCTTTAAAAATTAAAACGCTGCGTTTTGTTTCTTCCCTAATTTATTTTTCCTTTTTAATCAAGGTCAAACAGTTTGACTCAAACTATAAAAAGTTAAAAAAGAATTTAAGATGTTACTTTTTACACTTACAAAGTTACACATATAACAGTAACACATGTTACGCATCCCATAAAATAAATTAAAGGATTAATAAAAAAATTGATTTAATAAATACACAAGCACAATACACAATGTTAAAATTTAAATTGATTGCTATCACTCATCACCTCTCTGGTTTACAATGAATGAATTTTTCTTATTGTTTGTTATCACTTATTACAAGAGGAAAGTATGTTTATATACTAGGTTTAAATTACTAAAATCTATTATTACAAGGATTTCTATTCATAAGCCCAAACCCAATAAAAAATTAATAACTTAAAAGAAATCATTCAATGGTTATGCATGGAAAAATCCCAAACCACCTACAAGCTTGGGGGCGCGACCCTCGCTTGCTCATCTGGAAGCAGGACCCCCGATTGTGTCTGCGTTGCCCATTTTTGTTTGGCCATAAGAGTCCTTCGAATATTCTTGTCTTGATTTTAGTGATCAGTCATGACATTTTGGAATATGAATACAGAAGAGAGGAAGAGGCTCAATACATTAAAAAAAAGATATGGGACTGCCCCCCCATACATAAATAGTTCAAGTAATTGAGTCTGAGAGTCAAATGAATAAAAAATTTCATGTTTGGTTCGGGAAGGGATTATGGAAATTTTGAGATGAATAGAACGATAATCTACTTTCATTAAGTGATTTATTAGATAATCAAAAATTGAGGATCTTAAATACTATTCGAAATTCAGAAGAACTGCAGAGAGGGGCCATTGAACGATTGGAAAAAGCCAGGGCCCATTTATGGAAAGTTGGAAAGTTGAAATGTTGGATTGCTGGAGTACTCATACAACTCCAACAAGAATTAATACATTAATTATATTCAATCTTAACATAATTTATTAGGTAAATTACTGAATTATTCAATTGTATGGAAGCTTAGGTTTAGTTAGCCATGTTAATTAATTAATTTTTCATAAAATTAATATAACTAAATTCAATCTTAACATAATTTACTAGGTAAATTGATAAATTAATTCATAAAACACTATCTCCACTACAACTAATAAAATTAGTCCATTTGTGAAAGGGACAAATCCTATTATTTGATTAAGTTTAACGTCATATTTAATTGATCAATTAATTAATTACAAGGATAATTGAATTTGTGTAATTTGTAAGTCGTTAAACAATTGTATATATTCTTATATTGGTTTGTAAATTGTAATAATCTAATAAAATTTATTTTTGGGCCATGTATTATTATTTTGTGAAATTCAAAAAGTAATAATACATATATTTAATTATTAGACATTTAGACTCTCTCGTATTTTTCTATAAATTTAATACAAACATTAGAAAATATTATAAAAGTAAATATCATAAATTTACATACATTACTTAAAATCATGATTTAAACTCTAACTTTATATACAATTTCGTAAAGGGAAATAAAAAAAACATAAAATTCTAAAAAAAATGGGGTGGGGAAGGGATCCACCGGGTCGGGGTGGTCCGGGGCGGGCCGGGCCGGGGATTACACTATCCCCTCCCTCGGCCCATCCTCGGATGCAGGGATTTTACTACGGACCATCCCCGGCCCTATCCCCAATTTTTTCGGAGATTCCCCGACCCATTTGGGTTGGGTCAGATCCCCACGGGGCCGGGGCAAACGCCCATCTCCAGTAGAGTGCCTTTACACCTCGGCTTTCTATTTATTAAAAATTTAAAACTACTGCATATTGACTTTTCTAAACTAATGACTTACTGTACACACTCACTAATATAATGACAGCAGAGTTTATTTATATAAACTAAATATACAGCTAACTATATAGTCAATATGATATTGGGAAAATCCTCGTTTGGAACTCGAAAACTGAATCCAAATGTCCAGTTGAATTAGTCCTTTTAGACACTGGGATTCTCGTCCTCCGTATTTTGGATAATAATGTTACTCTGTGGAAAAGCTTTGATTCACCAACGGATACACTTCTTCCTCATCAAGCAACCAAAGACGCACCACTTATTTCATCAAGAAGCAAAAGCAACCATTCGTCAGGTTTTTACAAGTTTTATTTCGACAACGACAACGTTCTCCGACTTCTTTATGCTGGTCCTGAAGTGTCAAGTGTATATTGACCAAATCCCGAGTACTTAAGCTGGAATCAAGGACTGAAGGAAGGATGATATGCAACAACAGTCGAATGGCGGAATTCGATGGTTTAGGCTATTTCATATCAACTGATGAAGCATGGTTTCGTGCCACTGATTTTGGTGTGGTGCTCAAAAGAAGATTGACGCTCGATTTTGATGGTAATATTAGAATGTATAGCCTAGATGAGGCCAAAGGGACATGGAATGTTTCTTGGCAAGCCTTATCTCAACAATGTACGATTCATGGCATTTGTGGACCAAATAGTCTTTGTAGTTATGTTCCTAAGTCTAGTAGAATATGCTCTTGTTTACCAGGATTCAAGATAAAAAATCCCATTGATTGGTCTTATGGTTGTGAACCTGAATTCGAAATCAACTGCAATAATACTGAGGTTCCTTTCCTTCAACTCCCTAATGTTGATTTCTTTGGCTACGATATCCTTTACATGCCAAATTTAACTTTCTGCCAGTTTAAAAATGTATGCCTGCAATCGTGCATTTGCAAGGCTTTCATGCACAAATTCAACATAGAGAAAAACGTCTTTGACCGTTATCCGAAATTCCTCTTGTTTAATGGATACCGGTCGCCTAGTTTTCGTGGAATCACTCATTTAAAAGTGCCTAAAGCTGGAAATGTTTTTTCAAACAAAGACAATTCTCCAATAATGTCAATGTTGAATTGCTCAGGAGTCAGCGGATCATCAGAAACACATAGAATATACATGAAAGCAAAAGAAAATGAAAAGCTAAGATTTTTAGTGTGGTTTGCCTGCGGTATTGGCAGTGTTGAGATGACCTGCATCTTTTTAGTTTGGTGTTTTCTGTATCGGACTAACAATAGAGAGCCCGAAGTGGGGGGCTATTTTCTTGCTGCAACTGGCTTTAAGAAATTCGGTTACACTGAGCTCCAAAAGGCTACATTGGGTTTCACTGAAGAGATTGGAAGAGGTGCGGGAGGTGTCGTGTACAAAGGTTTACTGNAGGCAGAAGAAGAAGAATGTTATTGATAACTGATGGGTTTAAGGGGGACAAAGTGGGTCCCATTCACCACTTTGATATCTGTACACATCAGCAATCATCTCCTTCATCTATTATACATCATGTATTCTATCTATTTATTTATTGTATTGGGTATTTTCGTACTTTTGACTACCCATTGACTCTATCACTCCTTTGTCTTTTCCTTGAAATTATATTCTCCACGCGCCCTTTTTTTGCGTGACAAATAATACATACGTCTCCCGCTTATCATTCTATATTTGAGTTCATTTGCATTTGCTTTTACTTCTTTTTTAAATTCTTTTTCAATCATTGCAACTAAATAATTTAATAGAAAACACTAAAAAAAATTCTAGATGAAATTAAATATTTCTAGTGTTTTTTATTACCTATAATAAAGAGAGAAAAAAAAGAATTATTAGAAATTTATAGATTATTAAATTCAAAATTCAAATATTTTGAATCAATATTCTAAATTAAGAAAATCAATTTTACTTTTGTAATTAGCACAATAAATAATAAAATACGAAATTCAAATATATTAAAAAATAAAAGAAAAAAGTGGACCAGAGAAGCGCATGCTTTGAAAGAGGACGAAGCACTAGCAGGCGCCAGGTGGGCGCTGTGGAGAAGCATGCAAATGTAAAGCAGGTTGCAAAAGAAACTATTAATTCCCAGAATGCCCTCAAGAAGTTAACTGGACATACGTACCCTTTCCTTTTTAGACCCAAAGAACTTTAAATTCTGTTTCTCCTGTTATTTAGTCTTCTTCTTCTTCTTCTTTATTTATTTATTTATTTATTATATTTGTTTTCCAAAAATAATAATAGTAATAATAAACTTTTACTTTTCTTCTACTCTCTTTGTTTGTTATATTATTTAGTTCATATTACTTTAACGCAAACATTCTGTTGAAAATGTTAGTATGGTACATCTTTATTATTTGGCGGATAGAATAAGACCAAAGATTTTTGTCTCTACTTTTAATACCAAATTGTCTTCACCTTAATATATATATTTTTTATTTTTATATAATTTTTTTATGTAAACTTCGTTAGTTGAAGGTAATAATCTAATGCTAAAAAACGTTAAAACTAAGAAAATTTATTGTATAACCTCTCCTTTGCAGTCGAATAGCAAACCTTTTAACCACTAGATTAGTTATATCCAAAGAGTATTATATTCGAGTTACAGAAGAAGTAATCTATCATACTTTTGCGATTAACTTGATTTATTGAGCTTATAAGATATTCTATATTCCTGATAATTAGACAAACTCTAACGTATGTCTGGATACATCAGTTACCTAAAAAAAAGAAAATTGTTGTATATATATATATATTTTATTGAGATATCTTTTTTGAGTCGTTTATTTGAATTTTATAAAAAGGGAATTGCTGATAAAAGTTGTATCTATCTATATAATACAATACAATACAAAATATAATAAAAATCGAATCTCTATAAACTATCCAATAATTTATATAAGAAATTTATATAAATATAATAAATAAAGTAAAAAAGGGCTTTTTTTAAACTTTTTTTTTTTTTTTGTGTGTAATGTAACATAATAATTGTCTTTTTTTCAATTAGGAGAGATGGCTGAGTGGATTAAAGCGGCGGAATCTGCCCTGCCTATTAAATTGGGAGTTAATGAGCATTTCTATAGCTAGATGGATTTGACTTGGATACCCCCAAACATAGATGGCAATTTAATATACAAAACTTTGACATTTGCCCAACTAATTAAAATAATTATCAATTAAAAAAAAAAAAAGGAAGATAGAGGTTGGCATGAATGGAAGGGAGAAAAACTAATTAGCGGTCAACAAGATTTATTGGGTATAATCAAGAGGTTTGAGTTCGATCCCTGAGTTGTTAATAGAGTGATTACTAAAGAGATTTACAGTCCTATCAACTTCAGGATGCATGGAGATTATTGAGTATGTATAAACTGGTTTAGACATCCCCGGTCATCAGAAAAAGAAAAGGGAGAAAAACGAAAAAGAAAAGAAAGAAAAGAAGGGGAAATTGAGAGAATCAGGGCGTGGCGGGGGGGGCACAGGATTAACCCATGCCAATTTGTTCACCAACTAGCCATCATCTTCATCACATATAATATAATGTGAAATTTGTAACCAATTTCTGGTAGGGTCACGCGCCTCACGCCACCCCAGGCCTTCTCATACGCTCCCTCTCTGCACACCCTCCCAGTCCCCACCCACTATATTTTAATAAATTATATTATTTTAACTATTAATTAAAACTATCTCTAAATAAAAATTATTAATTAAACGTATAAATGACGTCAGGAGGTTGTGCAGAATAATACGAAAATATAAAGGCCTTATTTTGATATGTTAAAGAATCTAATACTCATTCAATGTATTGGCTCAAATGATGTTGGAACTAAACCAAGATCATGTTGATTATGGGAAGAAGATTTAAGTATTAGTAAAGTAGAAGAGATTGACATAAATTAGGAGTATGATAAAAATGTGTCAGGAGTATTTTATTACAGAATATGAATATAAAAAAATGGATAAAAAGAATAACATGATGGAATGTAAGATTTTATTACTTAGAATAACATGAGATTTGTAACATTAATTTAATGTAAGAGACATAATATTCGTTGGTATTAGATGATGCATTCCTGAAGTCAACTTTAAAATTTTCAAATATATTCCTTGAGAACTTAGGTGTGATATTGGTCTGTATCAAATCAGGTTTAATTTTATTTTTTTTCCTTTTTTTTTTTTTTTCAATTTGCACACGTCTCAATTAATCTCTCAAAATCTTTTTAAGTAATATATCCAACAGTCCCAAACGAACTGTCAAACTACTATAAGTAATTGTTAAATCAAGTTTAATTTAATAATTCAATTGGTTTAATTTGAAGAATTAACGAAGAATCCATGATTGCTGAGTAGTTATTGCGAATATTTAATAGATCTTTTCTGTTGTGTTAAAACCAGAAATAAATTAATTTAGACATCATGATTCTTCTTCTTTATAACTTTTCCAAAATTTCTCAAAATTCAATTATAGTATGTATTAATTTCTTATCATATTTGCGGCAAACAAAATGTACCATTTTACATTCTCACGAAAGGTCATTCCATCACATTTGAGATTGGGTATTTAAAATTTCACATTTGAAATTATCGGCAATCAAGCGATTAAGATTTGTTCAATCGCCCCTTCCAAGTCAAATTCCTATCAATCCCAACAACCAAAATCCAACATTTCACTATCAAAAGACTCATTAATCTTCCCTCTTCAAAAGCTCCAACATTCTAGACCGAGTTTGCTCTTTGTTCGTTACCGGAATATAAATTTAGATTGTAAAGTAGTATTTTAAAAATTTATGTGTCATTAAGCCATTATTTGAGAAGGAAAAAATGTACAACTCTTGAAATTTTTATAGAAGCAAGTACCCTTTGTAATTAATACGGGGTTTTCACAATGTCTAGCTACTAATGCNAACATCCATTGTTCTTTTCTATTAAACAACAACGTATATGACTAAAGCTTATTCTCTGTTTGGCGGCTGAGAAAATCAACATTCAATATCGAACAATACTTACAAGCCACACATAAAAACAACAAAACTAATCACAACTCATGAATTCTCTAAAAAGAACCCAGAAAGCTTAGAGAAAAAAAAAAAAAAAACACACACTAACCTTTAGAAGATACTGAAAATATGAGGACCTTCTATGCTGGTTCTTGTTCTTGTAAACAAGTCTTTCAAAAATTCCAAACTCTGTTTGAAGTTGAGCCAAAAGAGTCTTCAGTTTCTCTTCAAGACTTCCAATTTCCGATGAATCCATCTCTTACACATCAATCACCTCTCTCTCTTCTCTTTTCACTCCGCTTCCTCACACTCTTGGACTGCCGCGAATTCTTTCCTCTATTCTTAACCAAAAATGGGCCGGGTCTCTGGCCCAAATGGGTCGGGCTCAGGCCCAAGTGAATTATATGGAGTAATATGGGCTTTAAATTAAATAAGAATACAAAAATTTCAAATGCTTTTTTGGGGAAGTATTTAGCCCCACCTAATTAATCTTCAAACCCCCACCCGTTTTAAAATTTATTTGCTTTTGACAAATTTAACTTTAATTTAAATTATAATACATATCATCATTATTTCTAAATATACTCATACTCTATTTTACATTTTGGTTTTAATTTTTAACATTTAATGTTATGTAAACACTAACCCTAAATTTTCATAATCATTGAGACCTTTTGTTTTATTTTAGATATTTCTTTGTTTGATAAAAATATAATACTAAAACGTTAGAAAAAGTAATTACATAACGAGATGAATCTGAATTAGACTAAGAGAAAGATAAGTTGAAATTAGGAAATTAGGGGGAAAGAAGTGTAAAGAAGAAACCTAATTAAGTTTGACTTGGGAAAAGGGTGTAAACCAAAAAAAAACCTAATTAAGTTTGAAATTGAGGAAAATAAACCGATTAACCTTAGAAGGTTATTTTCGGTATTAAATAGGGTTTAAAGGGTTTTTTTTAAAAAAAAAAAAATTATAGAAGAGGTGTATTTAGGCATCCAGTGAAGATCAATTATAGAGGAATTAAAAATCACTTTTTTTTTTTTTTTCCTTTTGTGTGTGTTATTTAGTGCTTGAATGGGCCACTTATGTAAAATAGAGTAATAAAAGTCAAATAATAGATAATGCATAGTTTATTAGTGGTATTTAGAAGACTTCCATTAATGAAGCATAAATCAAATTGTGGATTAGGTGAGAAGTTTTGATGAGTCTTATCCCTTGACTTTTCTTCAAAATTTTCATATCTAAATATGTTTGTTTTTCCTCTTTGACATACTTTTCACTAAGCATGATTGACGTTAGATTGACACTTCAAGTGGATTATAGCTACTTATAACATTACGACTGTCTATTTCTATTTAACATATATGTATATAGACACTCAAATATTTTCCCATGGGCAATTAATGACCATCATTATCATAAAACAATTTTATGGAAAAAATCTTAGAATGAAATAAGTTAAATTACATATTTATCTTAGAGCTTACATTCGGTTGTTGTAGATTTGGAGAAAGTTTTGTTATAAAAGCTGAGAGGTTATTGGTATTTCAAAATACCAATTGTTATGCAATTAAAAGTAATTGCAGTTTTTTCTTTTATTTGAAAACAAATTGCTTCGGTTACTGCAATTCAAAGCATGGCAGTTTCTTATATTAATTTGAAGTGTAATGGTGGCAATTATAAGGGGTGTAACATAATTAAAAGTTGAGTTGTTATGAATAGATTATCAAGTATAAAAAAGGGTGTTTATTCTCTTTTGATGTACAATCTTTCCATTCAATAGAATCCACTTTTGCTTTTGCATCTTTATTCTATCAACTTTCCTTCACCACTTCTACGTTGTTCTAAGCTTTTGTCAAAGAGTGTACTTTAACTAGAAGTTCGTCATTATATCTAGGAGGTCAGTCCGCTGTTGAGCCTTTTTGCACCACGAAGATTCTCCAGTAGGGGTGGAATTCTGATCTTAAGGACAGTGTTTTTGCATGCCTTGATGCTACTGTATTGTTGCTGTTTCACTGCTGTATCATTGCTACTGTTTCGCTGCTGTGTTTGTTGCTGTATTATTACTGTTTTGCTGCTGTGTTTGTTGCTATTTTCCTGTTGTTTCACTGCTGTTCTTCTGCTGTTTTGTTGCTGTTCTTCCACTGTTTTGCTGCTGCTGTTTTGCTACTAATTTTTATTAAATTTCAACAAGTTTTGTATCATGTTGCACTACAATGATAAAATAACCATGTTTCATTCGTTTTAATATGATATATTTTCATTGACTAGTTGTATTGCAATAAAATGTACATCATAATTTTCGTAAATACCTTTTATATATATATATATATATAAACTAAATATGATTTTGAAAGATTTTCTTGAAATTCGTATTATATGTGTTAAAAAGGAAGAAAAAAATGACTTAAATCTCTAGAAATTGATTTGATGATTTTATATATCTATTTGATATTTGACATTCGAATTTCATACATAATAATTTCGAATTGTTTTTTCGCGAGCCGTATGAGGAGAAAACTTCTTATACGTTTTTAGGGGGTATTGTTCTAGGGGGGGTATTGTTCATTTATATCTATCCCAATGAGCCGTTTATCGAATCGTTGCAATTGATGTTCAATCCTATCAAGAAGGAAGAGATCTTCGGAAAGTGGGTTTTTATGACAAAGCATGATTAACGTTAGCTTGACACATCAAGTGGATTGTAGATACTTATAATTCATGACAATTGTATTAGGACGGTCTATTTCCAATTAACATATATGTATATATATATGTATAAATAAACAATATAGTCACATTCAATCAATATGTATAGACACTTATTATTTTCCCATGGGCAATTAATGACTGTCATTATCTTTTTCAATTTTATGGAAAATCTTAGAATGCAATAAGTTAAATTACGTATTTATCTTACATCTTACATTTGGTTGTTGTAGACGTGGAGAAACTTTTGTATCACGTTGCAATACAGTGATAAAATAACCATGTTTCATTTGTGTTAATGTGACTTATTCTCATTGACTAGTTGTATTACAATAGGATATACATAAGATTTCTAGTAGAGATATAGATATATATATATCATCTTACAATACAATTAGATAATGATAAAATAAGTACGTTTTCTAAAGATTCTTTCAAAATTCGTATTATATGTGTTGCATAACGTGAAATTGAAGTAAAGATATAAAACAGTGGAAAAGCATGAAAATGACGACTTCTTTTTGTAAGTGAGTTAGAGTTTCTTTAAGGACACACTTAGCATTTAGAAGAAACTAGGTAGGCAATATAATTACATATTGATGTATTTGATTGAGATGGATTCTTAGGTAAATAGTTATGGTGTGGATGGTCCTTATCAAGCTCCAACTACCCATTGAAGGATCCCTATGAAAGCAATGGAAAAACTTTTTCTTTCTTCTTGTTTCTTCCCTTATCACTTTCATTGGTCCCTCTATCTTTGAATATATGGCTTTAATTATGAAGAAACCAGGTTTGATGTTCTTCTTCGAATTTGGATAATTAGTTGATTTCCTCTTTTGTTCTCCAATAATTCAAATTTCAATATAAACCATGTTCTAACCTATCTCTCTAACAACGGTCGCATTTCTTAATATGCAAAATTTATTAACTACCATGAATAAATAATAATAATCAACCATAAATACCCATTCATGGGTAGCCTAGGGAAGGGCAAACCAAGGTGGCTGGAAATGGTTAAACCCATTATCTTAGGTTTGATTCCCCGTTGGACGCAGATGTAGTATTTTTGTCTATGATTTACTTGGAGGACTGCGATGTTGCTGTGAGATAACTCTACTTGAAGATTAGTTGAGGTGCGCGTAAACTAACCCAAACACTTCAATTATTAAAAAATATATATATATCAAACATAAACAATGATAAATTAAAGTATAGAATAGAGTTAAAGAATAGCCATAAAATGAAATTGTAGTACCCACTTGTCCAAAGCTTAGCTTGTTAACTTCCCTCAAAGGAAAAGCAAAAGGTAGAACAAAACAAAGATTAGATTAATTGTGGGATATAGTAAGCAACCATATATTATATGATTGAGATATATTTTATTTGTAGCTAAGAAAATTTTGCTTGTAACTTTCCCAAGGAGGACCCATTTCTCAATCTCATGTCTTGTTGCCTCCATCATTTGAATCCAATTTTCTTCTCATGTCTCAACACGTGTATCACATACCACATCAAAGTTTGGCACACAATTTGAGAAACAAAAAATATTGTTTCAATCAAAAGGAAAAGCAACCTAATCATGTTTAGTTGAGAGGTTTAACAAAAAATTTATAATTAATTATGCTTATTATATGTAAAATATAATATAAACACTTGATAAGATTAAACTTGAAATCATTCTTTAATTAATTAATTATAAGAAGTTTGGTATTGCCTTTTTCATATCCTACCCAACTCTCCACTTATCCTTAACACAAAACAAATTAATTGAACATAGAAAATTAAATTAAATTAAATTAAATTAAATTAAATTAGTTAGGTGGTTTTCATCTAGATGTCCTCCTCCCTTGGTGGTATGCTTCTCTCCTACCAAATGGATTGTAGTTAATATTTCAATCTTTCTCTAGGATAAGGACACTCCTCTTACCTAGTTTTTTAAATTTATAATGAAGGGATATTTTTCTTACCCAAATGAAGATTAATTACACTAATCATAATTAGTATTTTGCTAATAAAAAACATTAATGTTCATACTATATATGAAAATCCCTTGTTTCTCTGTGAGCAAATCCTTAGTTATGTCAATGACTCATCTTGTAGTATTGTTGTTGTCAATTAGTTAAATATAATATAACAATTATTTGGAGTATAATTGGAGATGGGTATGATTCAAATTAAAGATATAATTATGGTAGGCTGCCCATGTACCCAAGTAGAAATTTCATTTAAAATGGGATAAACATTGTGAAACATGAGTGGATCTAATTATAACATCTCTTACTCTAAGTTGAATAATTTGAAAAGAGGTTGATTGAAGATGAAGATTGAATTAATACCAACAAGCAAAGTAACCAAAACCTTCTTTTTTTATTTTTTATTTTTATTTTTTTGTTATGACTGGGATGTATAGTTCAATTTACATGCATTTTGACTAATTCTTGAGATCTATGGATTACCCTACAAATCTAACGTTTCACGGTAAATCACAAATATGATAAATGACTCTAAAATTCGAACTTAAAAAGTCAATAAAGAAAATAAATATTATTGATCGTTAAGCTAAACCCTTTGAGATTTCTTTTGTTATTCTTCTTCTACTACTCTTGTTGTTTTTGAAAAGGATAAAGAAATTTAATGTTGTTTCGTTTGTAGCTTTTGCTTTATTCCAAAAGCCTTAGAGACACTTGATCTAGATCCACCAATAAAATCCCAACACTTTGTGATTGATTATGTCATTGATCATGCCACCAACATCTCTCTATCTTTGTTGTTTATTATTAATTAATTAATGTATTAAGGAGTAGATTTCGTTAGTCAATTGCCTTCATTAATAGCTCTTTATGAAAGTATATTTGTTGTCAATTTAGTTATGGCAATTTGATTATGTCTTTTTAATTGCTATAAATATCCATTAAAAAAAGGGGATTTATTTTACATATAAAAATGACCCTTAAAATGATTAATGAAGCCTAAGAAAATAAATATATTACACCATAATATACTATACATTCACCACACAATAATAAATCCACCTTATTATAAAAATATATATAAGAAAAAAAAATTCACAAGATGCCTGAGTACTGTAGATGTGGACAAGCTTTTACCTTTAACACGATGAATTATTCTTTTCACCCAAGTGAATTTCCCAAACTACCCTAGACAAAAATAATGAAAAATAACCCTCGGGAGTCCAAAAATAAAAAACATTGGACTCCAAAATTGACCCAAAACACCATACAACGTAGAGCCCGAGAAGCCGGCAATTTGGACCATATGGGTACCGTGAAATACCGGTCAACCGTTAGGACACCATCGCCCTCCAAGTACCTCTCCTTTATTGGCTTCTTCTCTCTTCTCTTCTTTTTGTTAGTTAAAGCACCAAACTTTTATTAACTATGACACCACCTCACCACCAAAAGCAAATCCAAATACAAATACAAAATTAAGCTTTTACTATTCATTTTCATGGCCAAAGTCATTCATGAAGCCACTGAAAACATGACTCAACTCTGCAGGAAAGTAGCCCGTGTAAATATTAAGTGGAGTATACTCGATAGAGTTTCAATTTTCCGGAGGTTCTTTCGGTTCATTTGGGATAGAATTCTTGTTTGTTCTATTGGGAATAATAAGCCTGATCATTTGGGTTACCGGAAACTCACTCACCGGCCGTCTTCTCCGGAGACCGTCGAAGCAGGCCTGGATGACCTTTCCAGGACGTGCAGTAGTAGTAGTGGGTATGAAACGGATTCCGATTTGGTTTCCTTGAAGATCAGCTTGTTGGGTGATTGCCAAATTGGAAAAACAAGCTTTGTGGTGCGTATAATTTATGTATAAACATACATACACATATCCAATTTCTTGTAAATTTGATTATTTATATGCTGACTTTTTTGTGTTGATTTTTGTTTGAAGATTAAATATGTGGGAGATGAACAAGAGAAATGTTTACAGATGGCAGGATTGAATCTGATAAACAAGACATTAATGGTTCAAGGAGCAAGAATCGCTTTCAGTATATGGGATGTAGGAGGTAATTAATTAAGCTTATAATAACAGCTAAAATCTCATGCTCAAACTTATTTCTGGGAACTGAATTTATTAACATTTTATCTTCTTTTTGCTGCAAATTTTCTGGGTTGCAGGTGACAGTAGCTCCCATGACCATGTCCCAATTGCTTGTAAAGATGCAGTAGCAATTTTGTTTATGTTTGATCTCACCAGCCGCTGTACACTTAACAGGTTAATAAGTTTAATAAGAATCATTAGACTTTTCTTTCTGAATTATGAATTGAATAAGAATTAACAGTGATTTCTGGTGATTGATTTGCAGTGTTGTTGAATGGTATAATGAAGCCAGAAAGTGGAATCAGGTACTAAACAGAGCCTTAATTTCTTCACATAATTAGCAAATTTAGTTGCTACAGTAATAGATAATGAAGCTTTTAGAAGCCATTATTAATTGAGTCTTTATAAATTAATTAGTTAATCATGAGGTTGATGTCGATTGAACTATTGAGGCTCCACCATTAAAGAGGATTGATGTCAAATCCAGTACTTGGTTCATAAATGAAATCAATGGATTGTCCTCTGGATCACCAGATTTCTTTTAAAGAGTGGAGCCCCAAAATTGATTATCATTTATGTTAGTTAGTTTGTATATAAATGCCTACTTATATCAATGTTTAATTATGATTTATTTTTCTCCTTCCATTTTGTAAATGTATCTGCAGACAGCTATTCCCATAATTATTGGCACCAAATTTGATGATTTTGTGAGACTCCCACCAGATTTGCAATGGACAATTGTAACCCAGGTACATATTTCTATTTACTCAATTGGGTTCTTAATGCAAATTCTTGATCAATCTGTAATCACAATCATCAGTGTGCATGCCTTGAAAGTTAAGCTGGTTTATTTAATCAATTAAGTATTGGTAATTTTGACATAATTGAACTGATTCTGGTGTGAATTTGAAGGATGTTTTTGGGGTGATTTGTAGAGTCTTCGTCTTCTTCTTCCACTTTAGTCAATTTTCCATGAATTGAATTGACATTAATGGCATCTTCTCTCTTTTTCTCTCCGCGTTATTAAGAAAGGCAACATCATGGGCCACTGTTCATTGAAGCTTAACTCAGAATTCTACCCTTTAACTTGTTTTACCCGCTAAACATTTTCCTTTCCTTAGTGTAATCTTCTAACACTGAACATAAAACTGGTCTGATACGTTGAGTCCTTTGTAATGTAAATGCAGGCAAGGGCATATGCAAGGGCAATGAAGGCGACCCTTTTCTTCTCAAGTGCAACACATAACATCAACGTGAACAAGATCTTCAAATTTATAATGGCCAAGCTGTTTAACTTGCCCTGGACGGTCGAGAGAAACTTAACCATTGGAGAGCCAATTATCGATTTCTGAATATATATATATATATTTTTTTATAAATTAGTATTCTGATTTTCTTGTACATAGTCTGAAAGAGAAAGAATTTTTAAAAGAAAAATAATAATATAACAAATTTCTATATGTTTCTGTTGATTCTCCAAGGAATTTATAAAAAATGGAATCAATTTGTAGTTGCATGGCGGTTTGGTAGTCTAATATTTTAAATTCTTTCAAAGGCATAGATTCCAAATTCTTTCCATTTAAAATATGCCTTCAAATTAAAGTCTTTCTCAACAAAAATTTGACTTCAAGACTCGATCAATGGAGGAGGCAGACTTTAGTGAACCTTTCAATATTCTCCTTCTGGAAAAAGATAAATATATCTTTATATCCTTACCATAATGGACCATAATGGACGGTTTGACTTCATCAATGTATTATAGTTGTGAAAACACAAACCCTGAGATGGCATAAACTCAATCCATTACATTATTATAGTTTATTAAAAGCAAGTACAAGACAAAGGGGTGGGTAGCTCTATTATTCCTATATATTATGTACTTGCTAGCTACCAAGGAACATCACACTGAGGGAAAGCATTTGCATTTCTCTAGTAAATTGATATTAGCAGATAATTTGAGGCTTTTATGAACTGCTGCACCCTCTGAGCTCTTTGTAGATATGCTTCCCTGTTGCCACCATTATCATCAACTTCCTCTGAAAGATAGAGATTGAGTTGCTGCAAGAGTGGTCCAAATCGCACCAGATATTGCAGAATGTATAATTCATTCACTGTTCCTTTGAAACCCTTGACCTCAACAACCCTAAGACTTTCTTTAATGCACCTGTAAATTACCAGGTTCTTGGTCCAAAATTCCTGAGGGTTAAACTCATATGGAGCAACATAATCCTATGAAAAAAAAAAAATAGAATGGTAAATTGAGCATTAAAATTATTACAAATAAGGTCATACTGCAACTGTTATATATTACTTACAGGAAAAATTTTAGCAGGGACAATGTTGATTGTGAGAGTCTGTAACTGAGGACAACTCTGGAGCATGAACTTGATTCCGCAGAATTCATTCGAGTGCACGGCGGTGTTCAAAGTGAGACGGTTTACATTCAGTGGAGATGACAATCCCAATGGCTCCTCCCCATGGGGAACAACCTGTTAAATCATTTATCACGTTATCGGTATTACTTATTTTGACATATTTTACAATAAATTCTTTCAAAAAATATTATATGGTCAGAAGACTGGGAAAACAATATAACTATATACCTGAAGCATGTAACTGCAAACTGTCAAAACTCTAACAGGAAAAAGCTGTTGCAAGAGTTCATAAAGAGTTTGACCAGTTTCTTCAAATTCCGTCTCAAGTGAGAAGTCTAGGTCTGCTTCAACCATGGAACGTTGTCTCTCAAAGTGAAAATGGCCTACTGTCCCATTATACTTGAACAACCTTAAATTTGGTGCCTCAATCAGGAACACAGGTTTCAGAAAACGGCACTTATCAAGAACCAGGCTTTGAAGCCTTAGATTGGGCACAGAAATGTCAAGATGATCAATATTCCAACATTTCTTCAAACTCAAACTCTCCAACGATGGACAATGCTCCAACAAGAACTTGATAGAATCCAAATTCAATTCCATCCAGCCAAAAGAAAGTTGCTTCAATGCACTGAAAACTTTAAACTCTTTCGACACAAAATTGCATGAAAACAACTTCAAAGATTCAAGACCCTTGTGGCTATACATACGCATTGGCAAGTCAAACACTGCTTCATGATCTTCAACATCGTCTTCTCTCCACGAGGGGTCATGAAAATCAAGGCCAAATTCCTTGACATTGTGAGAAATTGCGAATCTGGTACAGTTTTCAACGTCCACAGGAAAATTTCCAGGCTTAGAGAACGTCAGACAGAATGAATTTACATCTGTTTCATAATAGTTTCCCATCCATTGACGTATAAAATCAAAGAAATTCCTTCTCTGAACCTCCTTGGTCTCTTCAGGATCGTCAATTTTGACAAAGAAACTCTCAAGAAACTCAATGTTCTTCATAGAGCGCCAAACGTGATACCAGCGCTTGGAGAGAATGCAGGTTCTTACCGCTTCATTGAAGGGCAATAGGGAGATGATGCAGCATAATAAGTTGGTTGGCAACATTGAGATTCTGTCCCTGGGATTAGCCATGGCTGTGTTCATGGAACTGTTGCGAGAAAACAGTTGGTGTCATTTTATAGGGGTGAAATTGAAACGTCAAGTAGTGCAGGAAGCAAATGGTTGCAATGTTTGAAAAACAGTTAGTGACGGTTGGGTTTTTGGCGGAAGGGATATGTCCATTTGAATATGAGCTTTTCAATAACTTTTTAATTTTAAAAGATCTATGTTAAATTAAAAATTAAAAATACCACTGAAGATATCTAAACATTATTATTTGGAGGGCAAAATCTCAGATATATTCTACAGAGAATTTTAAAATTAAACTTTATTCTACATATATTCATAATTTCCATAAAAGAAAATATTTTATGCTAGTCAGACAGGATTAATTTACTGCTGCTGTGGTTGCTACATATTCAGCCTCTGCAGTACTTTGTGCCACGAGCTCTGGCTTCTTTGAGCATCATGAGAACACTCCTAAACCAAAACTGAAAAAAATAATATGTTTTACTTCTCATATCATCCACAGAACCTACCCAATCACACTATCGGAGAAGCCAAGAAGTTTTAAGCTATGATATTTTGAAAATCTGATACCATAATTAATCGTGCCTTTTAACATATCTTGCAACTCTTTTTGTGGCCTGAAGATGAATCTCACTTGCACAATGCATAAATCTAGATAGTAAACTTACTATATGCGTTATGTCCGGTCTAGTTGCCGCGAGGTACATTGGACATCCAATCAAGCTTCTATACAAACCTTCATTAACATTTTCTGCTCCATCTTTTTTGTTGAATTTCTCCTTAGGATTCATAGGAGTAATTTTAGGCTTACAATCACTCGTATGAAATTTACTAAGGATTTCTTTAGTATATTTTTATTGGCAAATCATTCTCACTTTGTTTCACCTCCATGCCTAGAAAGTAAGCAAGATATGTCATTTCAAAAACTTGTAGCATCTCTTTCTTGAATTTGTTAACAAGTGTCTCATTGCTACTTGTCACCAATAAGCCATCAACATAGATTGCTACTAGCAGCAAATCAGCTACCTCCTTCTTCACATACGAAGTAGACGCCCATCAATCTTATTGTACCAGGCCCTTGACGCTTGCTTAAGGTCATAAAGTGGAAGTGCTTTCTTCAACAAATACACATTGTCTTTATGTCCTTCCTTGACAAATCCTTGAGGTTATTCTACATGTATCTTCTCCTCTAGTAACCCATTCAAGAAAACTGATTTTACGTCCAACTGGTACATATTCCACTTTTTTTGAGTTTAGCAACGTATAGCTAGCTACCATACCTTGATATTAGTTGTAATAATTGAAAAACTTGTAAACTTGATATCTACTAATATAAAGTATTAAATTATAATACTTGTGACATGAATTTTGCGGTTTTATTATAAGAATCAATTATAGCACAATATAGCGTGCCAAACTTTTGTGGATTACAGTGATAGAATGCGTCCTCTTTTCTGCTTCCCAGATTGATGATTTTCTGTTGTTTGTGCCAAAATGGGTAAATGGACAGGGGAATATAGCAAGCAACATAAACTGTTGGAAATTCTCAACGTGTAAAGAGTGTTGCTAACATTTATTGATATAAAAAGCAGAAAATATGGAAAACTCTCGACGTGTAAAGTAGTGTTGCTAGCATTTCTCGAAATAATATTCCAAATAGAAGCAATTTCCTCGAAAGTTTGTACCAAAAAAAATGTATCACATAGTCGTAAGACTAATATCATTTAACAAAACTGTTCCCTTCTACAGGAACAGAAAGCCTCTTCAATCCTTGGTCTAACAAAATTAAAGATAAGTAGTACCAACTTTTGTCGCAAACATGGCATAATGAGAAAGACATCCCTAAACCTCCATGTGGCGGACAAAGAGAGATACATATTGGAGTAGCCGCATTCACGAAACTGAGTTCTCATGCAACAGCACATACTCTCGACTGCAAAATCCCAAATAGTAACCTTTTAAGTAACATGTAGAACTTAAATTGTTACGAACAACTTGCAAGCAGAACAAACATCGATACAGTACTTGAAACAGATCAGAAATGAATGGATTTAGATGCCTTGGAAAAAAACAATACTAGGCAAAAACAACTAATTGAAAGTACTGCATTAAGGGCAAATTACAGAGGGTTATCATCCTTTTAAGTTTTGACACCAAAAAAAAAACACTGTGAAATAAGACTTTAGAGAAATTTCTCTCTGCTGAGCAGTGTACTAGCATAAATGAATAACAAATCTTGGGAAATCGTATAGTCAGCAATATCTGCAGAGAAAACTGACTACAATGAATGGCACTATTTGCTGACTGAACAAACTCAAATCACAATACAACCAATCTCCTAATCCAAGTAGATAAATATGGGCAACACCCATACCTAAAGGAAAAAAAAAGGAAAGCACAAGTTAAATCGATCAATGATCTATCTAATATTACCAATCTAATGGTGTCTTTTAAAAAAATTCATGAAAACCAGCAGAGGATGAAAATAATATATCAATCGTTGGGATACTCGAAAGCGTGTGTTGAATATTGATCAGAGCCCTACCTACTATTACCAAATTTAATGGTGTCTTTTTCAAAAAGTTCATAATAGCGTTGCGGCTCAATTGGATTCTCCTGCAAATACACACCCAAAAAAAAAAAGGTTAGCTAATCTATTTCAAACACTATAAAAGGGCATAACAAGTAGAAACAAGAAAATGAGATGAATTTCTTACATTAAGGTAAGTCTTATTAGTGCTTCCAAGGTCCATCAAGTAAGGCCTGCCATAGTGAAAACATAAGACAATTAGATTATAAATTCTGAAATAATAACTCCAACCAACACCCACCAGTAATTACAAATGTGCCTAGTCTTACTTTACTTGCTTAGACGATGTACCATCAGGATTCTCCTTCTCTACTTGCCTAAAAAGACAGAACCAACTTGTTACGCAAGGTCCCAGAATATCAATAACAAAATAAAACAGCAATTTATAGATCTACCGGTATTGAATGACAGCATGTTGTTTGCTGCATGATGGGTGGTCCGTAGGAATGTCTGCTACCCTTCTTTCTCTCCCAAAAAGGTAACAAGTTTGTCGATGTATGTAAAGGGGCTCTGTTGATCGGGCAAATATGTCAGTGACACAACCATAAACCAAGGGTACATATTAAAGTATCTCTTCAGCATCAGGAATCATTTTCACAAAGTAACAGTACAACAATAAAAGTTCAAGATGCTTCACCATCCACATCATCATATCAGTATGGTTTTAGACCAACTCAACCATTTAAAAAGCCTTGCCTAGCTCCATCCAGACTGAAGTAAACCTCAAGGCCAAGTTGCCCGAAACAGGAGGTCAAGATTCAATTAGTCTTGTTTGCATCAAGGTGAAGTTTGACTCTATTGTATTATTCCACCAGTTTCGATGATTATATTCCATATTTCCAAAGTCCTTATCATAGTTTCTATAACCTTAATTGGTAGCTTTAGTCATAAAAAACAAAAAGAAAATATCCAAAGTTCCAAATACGAAGTAAACCCCTAGCACTCAAACTATGGCATTGAGTTTCAACTATATGATCCCTATATTAATATTTAAACAAAACAAATATGTCCTCGTACAGTTTTGACCAAATGAATTCATAAGAAACATGTACCTTTCATGGATAAAGCAAGAAAAATGTACGGTGAAAGACAGAAGCAAGGAAAAGAGATTTACATGAACTATAGACGGATAAGAATCAACAAATAAGTAAGTAGACGTATAAATTTTACCTTTCAGCACTTCACCAGCCTTGAAAACATAAAGTCGCCATCTTACATTAGGTTTTCGAGCATCAGGAGGTTCATTGAAGAGCAATGTCACACCTGGAAGAATAACATACAAGATGGAGAATGAAATTAAAACAAAAGAATTGATAAATATTCCGATCATTTCCATAAGACGCTCTTACTAGTTACTACACTAGATTTACTAAATCAAAACCAGAGAGGGACAATGCCTTCCTCTTGTAAATCAAGGCAAAGGAAATCTAGAGAAGCTTTTATAGGCCAAAAGAAGAGGTACCATAGCACCTGGTCACTGCCTAACAGCTATCAAACTACCAGAAAGATCTACCTTTGATAAAAAGAAATTTTTGAGTAACGGATAATTGAAAAATACTGAAAATCCCAAATAAAGTATTCACCAGGCAGATGTATCTAAGAATAGACACAATGAGCGCAAGATTAAGGTACAAACCTAGCTGCCTTAAAAACCATCGAAGTGTCCAATTAAAGCATAGGTAATGAGTAGGCTGTCTAAGATAGTCCGTAGATAATGAAGCAAATCAAAACAGGGAGATTCTATGTCTAAAATAACAGGGAAAGTAGATCTTACCTCTTAATCTATTCGTTTCGGCAGCAAGCTTTCCAGACAGCTCAAATGAAGGTTTTTGCTGAAGTTACAAAGACAAAGAGAAACAAGAATTACACACAATACATAACCATTTACCTCACCAAGTAAAGATGATGTATACCATCTTAATGACTCAGATAATCAAAGGGGAAAGAGGAGTTATCATTACATCACAAGTTGTTCTCAGGATACAAAGAATAATGAGGCCAAACGAATGATCAATTAATGGATAGGAAAAGCTACAACTACCTTGTTTTTGGCTTCCAAGGTTTCCTCAGCAGCTTTCATCTTAGCCACTGAATCATCATCATCATTCCTGGTCAAGCAAGCAGGCAATGTCCCATCAGAAACAACATCAATGCTTATTTCAGGAAAGCATCCTTTTTGTCATTTAAGGCCTATAAGGTTCAAGACATCAGCATCAAGGAGTTTCATTCTTCCAAACAGAAAAAATTTACATAGTGACTAAGAAAATGAATTGACCACGTGTACACCGTATCACTTTTACCACAGTACTAAAGTTAACTCTATTATATTGGTAAAACCATATTTCTTCAAATGATACATATTGCTCAACTTACTCTTACCCTCCAAGAATATAAATTTTAATATATTATTTATATTCTCATTACTGTGCACAAAAGGGTAACAAATACATTTTATAACTACAGGTGTCCACAGCAAAATTCTAGTAAAAGCTTAAGAGAAAAGTTTAAAGCTTGAAAAGTTGCTCACCTGTGTTCAGCTCCTCTTGAGTTTGTCCCCTGGAAAAAATTGACTTCCAGTCACACAATCTATTTGTTCATGATGCATGAATTTAAAGATAGTTTGATTTAATAAACTTTGTTTTGAGTAATGCCCCTGGAAAAAATTGACTTCCAGTCACACAATCTGTTTGTTCATGATGCATGAATTTAAAGATAGTTTGATTTAATAAACTTTGTTTTGAGTAATGCACAAAGGCCAAATAATGTTGATAATAACAGGGATAGAAAGGGGTGAATATCACCAGACACCTCATGACGAGTTCTGGCACCATCAGCTGAATGAGGTGAGCGAGATCTATGCCTACTCCTACGGGGTTCAGCCAATGGCGAAGTAGACCGCTCATGTCTTGTTCTTGTAGACCTGCTACTGACTTCATCTCTTCCTGAAGTTCTCTCCTTTCTTTCACTCTCAATATCCCTATCAAAACCACGTTTATCCTTTCTCTCACTCACAGTTTCCCTATCTGAACCCCTCTCTCTATGTGTGCTCTTATCACTTGTCCTACCATGATTCTTCTCACGCTCTCTCTCTGTCACTTTTGTAGCCTCTTTTTCTGCTTGGGCTCTCCTCAAGCGTTTTGTACGTGGTGAAGGAGACTGAGAAATGGATGAGCGCCTTTCCTTATCATTAGCCCTACCATGATTTCTCTCATGTTCTTTCTCAGTCACTTTATCAGCATCTCTTTCAACTTGGGCTCTCCTTAACCGTTTCGTATGAGGGGAAGGTGAGCGTGAAACAGGAGAGCGTGACCTTTCCCTGTATGTTCCCTTATCACTTCCCCTACTATGATTTCTCTCATGCTCCCTCCCTGTTGCCTTCTCAGCCTCCCTTTCATCTCGGGCTCTCATCAACCGTTTTGAACGTGGAGTAGGAGAGCGAGAAATGGGAGAAGGCGACTTTTCCTTGTGTACCCCCTTATCACCTCTCCTAACATGGTTTCTGTCATGTTCTCTCTCTGTCACTTTCTCCACCTCTCTTTCAGCTCGAGCTCTCATTAACCGTCTTGTATGTGGGGAAGGCGAGCGAGAAACTGGTGAGTCTGACTGAGCACGTTTCGGAGACTGAGCACGTTTCGGAGATTTAGCAAAACTAGAATGTTTCTTTTTCTCTTTATCTCTCTCTCTTCCAGGAGAACTACCCCTATGTGAGCTCCTGTGCCGCACAGGTGATCGCTCTTTTCGAGACGGGCTCTTTCTAGTTGGGCTCCTCCTTCCTCGATCTCTAACAGGGGATTCTGATTGGTTGCTTATATTGCGCCCCATCACCACTCCTCAATGCCACTACTCTGTACCCATTCCCATAGTAGCATAAAATGAGAATTCAAACCACAACCAAATGATGGAAATAAAAAAATCAACAATATAAATTTTCATTGAAATTAAGCACAACCCCACAAAAACAACCAACCAAATACAATACTCTTCAAACAAAAATATCAAAACGGCAAAGTACACATTTCTTATTACACTCTGTTCGTTTGGATTCTCACAAAGCTATAGAAAATCAAAACGACATAAAAATCGGCATTTGGTTCAATTATACAATGTACTGATACTCATTACTAACAGCTCATTCTAAAAGCAAACCCTACTTAAACCCTAACCAAAATTAGTAACACAGGAATTAAATTATCAAGAAAAAAAAAAAACTGAAACGTTCTGGTTACCTGAAATTGTTGAAGTAAATATTTGCAGAGAAGGTGAAGACGAAACACTATTGAAGCTTGTTATAGGGTTCGATTTTGTTAAGGGGAGAATTGCTCTCTCGTCCTTTGAGGTTTGAGGCCCGTTAGGGATACTACACTTGAGCGGTGTAAGGAGATAATTAATTTAGGTCCTTGACATTTAATATATTTTTAGTCCAGCAGAATGGGAAAGTAACATTACGGTCCCTGAGTGATTGAGTGTAGTGTAAGTAACATAGGTTTAGAGGAATATCTGGAGTACACAATTACAGTAACTTTAATCCCGTAAAAGATGAATGTCTAAAATACCCAAATTACAAAATTACATTAAAACATCCTTATAATAATACTTTATATAAGAATAACCACTTGAGATATTTAGAAATAAAAATAAATTCTACATTGTAATAAATTATAATTTTCTAATTTTCATCTTAAGAAAATTATTTCTACATAGTAATAATTATTTACGTATTGCAAAAATATATATAATATGTTATTTTGAAGGTTTAAGATAAAATAAAATATTTATATAAAATTATTTGGAATAATGATTTATGTTTTATAATTGTTATCACATCTTTTAACTTACGAATACATAATAACTCGCTAGTATATATACATTTTTATTGAAACTAAAATATTTCTAGATTCTCAAGTATGTTGAGAGCTGTTTGGTACGACACGTTTTATATTTTCGTACTATCATGCTTATGATTATTTTTTTTATCTTTTTTGTCTAATTGTAGCAATGACTACCAAAACAATAAATTGAAATATTAATAATAAAACGTGAATTATAAAATAAAAAATCAAAACAGTAATTTGTTTAGATATACACCTCTATTAAGTTATAACCTCCTTAGTTTGATCCCACCATTATAATTATAGAAAAGTTTTACTTTTACATTTTTCGGAGTTAAATACATTATGTTCCATTATGTTTTGTATAAGTTTAGTTAGGTCCCATAAACCTCAAAATAACACTTAAGTTCTTATCAATTATCAATTATCAATTATTTATTTTCTTTTAAATCTAAAATACCCTTTATTTTGTCTTATGTAAATGATATTAAAAATTAAAAGAATTAAAAAAGAAACAAAAAATCTGTTAATTAATATTTCTATTAAAACTTTGGAACAATTCTATTGATTACTATTAAAAAAAATGAAAATTAACAGATTAAAAGTATTTTAGATTTTTCTGGAAATTTTTTCAACAACCGCTAATTTACTATTTTAATTATTAACATTATAATTCAAATAATTATTAAATTAAAAATAAATTACATTAAGGATAAAATCGGAAAAAAATTAGAACAGGAGTAAGACAATTTTTTCATTTCCCTGTCAATAGAATAGGAATAGCCGAATAGGAATAGCCATTCCTCCCAAACTCAAGAGGAATTGGATTCTTCCCAAAAAATGGAAATGGTCCCTTGTAGAGCTGGTCAAGGATCAGTCCCAAATGGGACCAATCGCTCATGGGCCTGGGATCCATAAGTAATTCTAAGACTTGGACCGGTCCCTAAGACTGGTCTTATGGGTCCAGAACTGATCTATAAGTCTGAAAAATTTCTTTTTTCTCACCGATTTTTTTTTTTTTTTATATTTAAGGGCGAAATAAAATTTTTTAGGGGGTTTTTAATATTTTTCAAGGGTAAAATTTATAAATTTTTTACGGTTGAGAAATTATTTTTTTAATAAATTTTATAAAATTCCCTTTTAACCCCTATCATTTATGTTTATTTCAAAATTTATAGAGGATTTTATGTAATTGTACAAGGGACTAAAACAAAAATATGTCAAAAAATTTGGGCCCAAGCTTGAGCCTTGGAGGAGGGCCCAGTGGAGGGATCGAATCCTCCTCCTTAGGCCTGGTCCCGTTTTGAGACCAAACCTCCTAGGACCGATTTTTAGACCCAGTCCCAAATACCCGCCTCTAGTCCCTTTTCAATCCATGAACTAAACATGGCATAAGTGTTAGTTTCAAAACAAGAGTAACTAACTTTTCCCACCCAAGGTTTGCCTTAATGGAACTTTCCCACCCAAATAGTTTCAAAATTCCATTTTCGCACCCAATCGTCATGTTCCGTTAGTAAATGCCGTTAAATACAGTGATTTTTATTGTAAAGACAGAAATACCCCTAACTGTTGGACTGGAATTTTTTTATTAGTACATGTCACGTCAATGGCATCAATTAACAATATACCCGTATCAATTGTATAATTACCAATATACTCCCAACCATGTGTAAAGATTAAATTACCAATTTGTCTCCCTAACGCCAAAAATCAACTGGAAAATTTTGAAGCAATTGAAATTACCATTTTGTCCCTGAGTTTGATGCAAAATAAATTGCCATTTATATATGAATTTTGTCAATTTAAACCCAACAAGAGTGTAGATTTGAAAATCACAATGCAATCCATTTGAATTGAAAACGAAATTTAAAAAAAAAAAAAATGGGAAGGCAATACAAAGATCTTCAATTTGGATAGAAAAATCACGCAGGTTTTAAATGGGGAGAACACAAAATTGGAGTTAAAATCACTTCATTGTCATTGTCACAATTCACATTCAAAAATATCAACGCTAATTCATCGTCATCGTCACAGTTGTCATTTAAAAATATCAAATCCAATTCAATCTCCATCTCCCTACATGCTACTATCATAAATCTATGATCAGTAATATATACATAGAGCAAAAAATGACCAATATTTGATCTATCCTAGGTGACAAAAATGGTAAATAAACATCAGGCTTTAATTTGGTGCTTCTTGTACTGCAAAACCTTGATGATCTCCAAGGGTTATGACCTGAAACAGATTAACACAATAACTTTCACTCAGAATTTCCATAAACTTATTATACAGACGATTTATGTCATTGTCACTGTACAAATTTGGACAAGCAATTCCATTCCAAAAAATAACTAACTAGCATTACACATTCATCAACACAAAAGTCATGAGACGTATCAACCAACTATCTTAAAGTTTCCAACAAAAACAAGTCAAACCGACCGTATTCCATAGTCAATTGAACATATCCTAAAAGTGACGCAGGTCATGTAATGGAGTTCAAAAGGAAGCCTCATGAAACAATATCAAAAGATTCCTCATAGGCCACATATTTACAAAACTAGAAAGATGTCTAACCTCAAACTTTTATCATGCAACCGTCTAGAAATTCAATTACAAACCATTACATTTCCACTTTCAACAATCTACTGCAACTAGCAACGAACAATGATTACTTAGAATTCATCCTCCAGGGAAGCAATTGGCATAATTCATTCACACTAAATCACACACATACAAAAAAAATCCCTAGGCATCTTCAAGGCCAACAAAAGAGCTCAACATTAGCAATAAAGCAAAACAAGTATAAAATGCAATCTTATAGGAAACAATGACAGGCAATTGAACAATGGAAGTTTATCGACATAATTTAGAAGCCAAGATTCTAGTGTCACCAGAGAAAAATAATTTAATCATTATAAAATAAAGGAGTCATATATATATATAAGACCATCAATTGACTACTAGTCAGACCATCACTTCTCATTATCAATTCTGAAATTAATTAACACCCCTCCTACCTCTACTTTCTTCACTAACCCGAACCCACATGCATGACTATAGTAAGTCTTACTCAATTCAACATCAAAAACCAATTAATCTTATGAAAAGCCAAAAGTACGTATACACGTGTATATATATAATTAACAAGCAAAAAGACAGCAAGAGTCACCCTTTTTGGAGCTGAGCTTAATGTAATTGTCCTCCAGTTCATTCCAGCCGAGACGTTCAACCCAAAACAATCCAGTTACGACCCAAAAGCAAGTCAGATTTCTCATTACAAAACACCCATTTCCCAGGTTCCCACCAATGCATTCGGCTAAGCTCAAAACTAACATGCAAACTTCAAATTTTTTCCCAGCCGATACATGCAATCCAGTCAGCCTATAGTTTCATCAAAAAGTTCAGCCTTTTATCAAATTGTTCAGCTAAAAGAAAAGGAATTGAACATGCAACACATCACCTCAAACCGGTCGAACAAATAAAGCCAATTTTTGTATCGCACACATCAAAATTTATGCTTCAAACACCACAATAAACTTCAACACATTACATCAAAACAGAAAATCAAACTTTCAGAAAAGAAATTTTGGAATCATAAAACTACTGGGAAAGGACAAATGAAAGCCTGAACATATTTCAAAAAAGGGATCAGAAGACCAGCTTGTCACTAAAAGTCACCAAAAACCTCGCCGTTCGCCCAAAAAAGTCCCTATTAACAACCCTTAACCCCTATCGTTAACACTGTACATGAACTTAAAACCCTAAACTCGCAAACTGCCACTCCACTGCCAGTCTACCTCGCCGTTAACACTCACCGGTCGTCGTAAATAGTCAACAGAAGGCAATCGAAGACTTCAACCCAAAACCCAAGAGTCTCCGCTCCAAGAACACGCAAAAGTTGATGAGTTTTGCGTTTCTCTTTCCATTTCTTTCAAATGTCAACTTTACTGGACACGTGTCACTGCCTAAGCCCTACACTTCAATTTCAAATTTTAATTTTAGATTTAAATTATTAACCAACAATAATGCCCTTCCTTTTAAGTGTCTTTTGACCATTATACCCTTATACATCACAAAAACTACTACCGGAACTGACGATTGGTATTATTGGGTGAGAAAATGGTATTTTGAAACTTTTTGGGTGAAACGGGCCATTGAGGCAAACTTTGGGTGGGAAAAAGTTGTTTACTCTCAAAAACAAAACAACTACAATTATGTCGGACCTCATAAAAAATGTATATAAAAATCTTTTTCTTTTTGTAATTTCTTATTAACTTTTTAAAAAAATTGAATCAATTATTGAAATCAAAATGTATATAAATATTTTTCTAATTTTAAACATATAAACATTATCAAAATAATAAAATATTTAATATTTATTTTTTTATTACCAAAAATAGATAATAACAACAAAAGTAGTTGCCTTTTTCAACAAATCTGCTTCACAAATATTAATTATAAATAAAATCCTAAACACTACCCTTTTACTCACCAGTCTCTTATAATGGCCGCCGCCTCCTCTTCAACTACCTCCACCGCAGCCGCGAAGCTTGCCCCGACCTTCACTGGCGAACCCACCAAGTGCGCTGCTTTTACATCCTCTAGGCCTTCGCAATTGCTCTTCAATTCCAAGAAATTTGCTTTGGGCCCTGCCAAATTGTCTTCCATTCGTTGTGTTATTGCCAAAGAGTCGGTCGCTCCTATGGAGACCGCTAAGAAAGACTCCGACCCGGCTAAGTGGTTGCGTCCTGATTCTTTTGGACGGTTTGGTAAATTTGGCGGGAAATATGTGCCTGAGACACTCATGTATGCGCTTAGTGAACTCGAATCCGCCTTCCATAAGCTCGCTACTGATCAAGGCTTCCAGGTTTGTTGATTTGGCGTTTCAATGCATTATTATTATTTTTTTAAAATTTAAAATTTGATGTTTTGCATTGCAAGATAATCGATTTCTTTGATATGAAAATGAGTTTAATGTATGATGAGTGGTAAATGATTTCGGCTGTTTTCATTATATTTTGATATTAAAATAAGTTGTTTCTGGTTTTCTATTTGATGATTATATTGTCATGTGATTTCTGGATTTTTTTTTTTTTTTTTTTTTTTTTAAATATAGAAATGAGTTTAATGTGCAATGGGTGGTGAATATCTTCAGTTGTTTTCGGTTTCCAAATAATGATTTGATGTAAAAATTGTGTTTGATGTTTTATGGGGTAAAGATTTTCGGTACTTTTTGTTGTATTAAGTTGCGTTTTATTTCAATTTGATGATTACAATGTCATTTTATTGGTACGAAAATGAGTTTAATATGTAACGAGTTGTAATTTTTGGGATAAACAGGACGAGCTAAATGGGATTTTGAGAGACTATGTTGGCAGGGAGAGTCCACTTTATTTTGCAGAGAGGTTAACAGAGCATTACAAGCGTTCGAATGGTGAAGGGCCACTCATATACCTAAAGAGGGAAGACTTGAATCATACTGGTGCTCACAAGATTAATAATGCTGTTGCACAAGCTTTGCTTGCGAAACGGTTGGGTAAGAAACGCATTATTGCTGAGACTGGGGCTGGTCAGCATGGAGTTGCCACTGCCACTGTTTGTGCCCGTTTTGGTTTACAGTGTATTATATACATGGGTGCCCAGGATATGGAAAGGCAGGCTCTTAATGTTTTCAGAATGCGTCTTCTCGGTGCTGAGGTTTGTTATTCCTTTTATTATGTAGTTATATGTAGTCTTTGGTGAATATGATTTGTTATCTATGTTTTAAAATATTTTTGTTGAATTACTTTCCCCTTGTAATTGGTTTTTATCGCTAATTCTCTTAATTGAGTTAACTTGTATTGATTATTATGATTGGAAACCTTGCGTTTTATGATACAGGTTCGATCAGTCCATTCTGGGACGGCCACGCTGAAAGATGCTACATCTGAAGCTATAAGGGATTGGGTGACTAATGTCGAGACAACCCATTATATATTGGGATCTGTTGCTGGTCCTCATCCATACCCCATGATGGTTAGAGAATTCCATGCAGTGATCGGTAAAGAAACAAAAAAACAAGCTATGGAGAAATGGGGTGGAAAGCCAGATGTTCTGGTTGCATGTGTTGGAGGAGGTTCAAATGCCATTGGTCTCTTCCATGAATTTATCAATGACCAGGATGTTAGGTTGATTGGTGTTGAGGCTGCAGGTTCTGGCATAGACACTGGTAAACATGCTGCTACCTTGACCAAAGGGGAAGTTGGGGTGTTGCATGGAGCTATGAGCTATTTATTACAGGATGACGATGGGCAAATAATTGAGCCACATTCCATTAGTGCCGGGTAAGACTTCCGATTCTTTTTTGTTTTTTTCCGCCCCTTCTTTAATTTCATGTGTTCTTATAAATTTTAACATGTCATGCAGCTTGGATTACCCTGGAGTTGGACCTGAGCACAGTTTTCTGAAAGATGAAGGGCGCGCTGAGTACCATTCTGTCACTGATACCGAAGCATTGGAAGGTATGAAATGACATTAGATTTTTCCATTTTAAAGCTTCTGAGTTCTCATGGGTGGATTATGGTTACCAGTAGTTGTTTATGGTTCCTGTTTCCGTCATTGTCTTTCAAACTTTTCAAACTAATAACTGTTCTGCCATTTCTTACAAGGTATTATATGCTTAAGTTATTTACTTGGAGATTTGAAGTTCAATCTCTGAGGCTAAGAGAGTCAAGTATCAGTAGATTCATCTAATAGTTCACCTCCTTTTTCATATCCCTTATTACGTTTTTTTTTGCATGCAGCTTTCAAGAGATTATCGCAACTAGAGGGCATAATCCCAGCTCTGGAGACGTCTCATGCGCTGGCATATTTGGAGCAACTGTGCCCGACTCTCCCTAACGGGACAAGAGTTGTGCTTAACTGCAGTGGTAGAGGTGATAAGGATGTTCAAACAGCCATCAAGCATCTAAAAGTTTGATGGCAATGTTTGCACACAGCAATTTAATTCATTGGACTGCCAATGAATAAGTGAGTTATTCCGTCTTAAGGAAAAGCTCCATTAACATTGTACTAGTATTTTATATTTCAATTTTGTATTATAAGCTTCTCAGAATTATTCCATGAAATTTAGATTGGAAACGTTTTTCTGCTACTCATCTCTCCCTCTTCCATTTTCCTCTTTTGGAGTTGGGGAGAATAATATGTATCAATATANGTAGACACTTCAGAAAAGCCTCACCATTGCAGGGTTCAACTGTTTCCTCTTCTATACCTAGATTAGATTCCATCTCATTCACGACAAAGGCATTTTCTGAAGTTTCTGCACGTTTTTCTTTGTTTCTTTCATGGATATTTGTGGGTTTGCTGTGTTACGAAACAAAAAGAAAACATGAGATTATAGAGATGAATGGCAGTACAAGAACTTACAAAATCAAATTACCATAGGACAAGAAGAAATAATATAAGAGAGGGGATGAGAGTAAATAAACAACAGAAGAGAAGAATTCAGGATTTTGAAGAAATTATCATAAATACATTATTTTTTTCAATCACCAAGAAGCTGTGCCCAATATTCAACATACATCCTATCAGGTTCAGTCATAAGAGCTAAATATGAGAACCTTAATGTCCCAAGTTTCGACGGTATCATAATTAAACAGGGTCCAGGATAAGACTAATAATAATCAACAGAAAACCTGATCTCCAAAACATTAAAAAAAAAAATAATAATAATAAAAAAAAAATAATAATAATAATAATAATAACAACAACAACAATAATAAGCAAAAGAAAATCAAATAATCAAAGAAGTTCCTAAGTGTTACACATAAATCTAACATATGTCTTTAGGTCTTATAAGGATCTCCATAGCTACCATATTCATTGCAAAATGCATCACAGTTAAATTAACAATGACAAGATAAGTAAGGAACCAAAAATATAAATTCGGGAAATGCAATAAAGTATAATAACTAGATATGTGAGAATTGTCATAGTTCATGCATAACTGACAAGGAAGAAAATCAGTAAATAGGTTTGTAGGGGTAAAAGTCTTAACAAATACCAACTTGCAGCACAAGGGCCTTAATAACTACCTTGCCATGCAGAAAAAGGCTGTGCAATACACATTTGGACCACCATAAATCTTATAAGTAACAAAACACTAAATAAATTTTTCAAGCAAAAGCTAATTAGCATCATTCTAGTTGTGCATCTTATTCCCCCATTTTGTCATAGGTTGCATCCTTATGAAATAAATATAAAGTAGAAATTTACAGTTTCCAGAAGTCTGTGCCCCCAATTGTGGCATTGATTCAGAGATTTTTTATCACAACAATGCATTTTGATGCTATTATCTTCTAAGATATTATAAAATCTCTGGTAGCAAAAGATCTGCATTAATATGACATAAGTTCTTTTTTTTTTTTTTTTTTCTCTCTTTAATTTCTAGTTACTTCAACAAAAGGCATAGCTTTAAATATTGGACGGATGAGAGATTTTTGTGTAATCTTTGTTTGATGTTGATTCAAAATTTGTTGATAATATTTTACTGAAGATTTTTGTGTAAAAATTTTGTAAACCGTCAAAACTGAACCAATCCGAACCAATTTTCTCAGTTTGGTTTCAATTGAAGAAGGCTCCGATACAGTTGGGTGTTTGAAGGGAAAAAAAAAAATCAATTGGGTTCAGTTCCATTCAGACCAAAAACCAATATGTAGTGACTTTATGCAAGTACAAAGCTAAATTAATATGCTCACCCAGAGAAATTTGGAAAAATAAATCCTATGTTGATGTCAAAATCATTAAAAACAAACTCCAAATAAAATTTATGCAGATAGCAAATATAAAAGCAAATGAAGAACTTATACACAGAAAATAAGATGTACCTGAAGAGTGTTGTCTGCATCTTTTGAAATTTTGATGCAATTGTTTTGCTTGACTTCTGCTCCAGCAAAGCCTGCAACAATGACAACAACGTTAAAGCAAGGAAGGAAAAGGAAGAAAGGAAATAGAAGAAATGATTTAGGGAAGACATAAAACTCACTTCTCCTACTTTATCAGAAGATCTTGATGAAATAAATTCCGATCCAGGAGCAAATAATGGTGACAGAGCATCTAAATCTCCCTCTTCAAAGACAAATAGATTCAACAAGGACATCATTGTAAAGATGCAGTCTTTAACTAAAAAATCAAGCCCAACAACATAACTTAATGAGAGCAAGCCTGAAAAATGCAGAAACATCCACTTGGACTCTTTATGCCTCATCGGGTGAGTTTTCATCACATCAAACACAAACTTCTGAATTGGTAGACAGATATTGAATTGCTGAAAACAACCAACAAGATGCACTATGAATTCATATTCCTTACATAACAGAACATCCTGCAAAGTTTTCAGACAACCTGAATTGCTGCTGTGCCTCAAGCACCAAATTGCTTGCAACATCGAACTACTCATTAACTTCAATATAGAAGCAAGAAGACATATATCCTGGGGACTTTTGACCTCAATACACCACAAAGGATCATGCATATTATCGGAAGAGCATCTATGTACAATGGAAGTTAATATTGACAACATTTTGTCTTTGCATGATTTATCAAAAGCATTTAGGCTCTCCCTTATATATGCAATAGAGGCATCCAGCAGGTCAGATTTTGTTCTATGAGCTGTATTGTTTACGTAACAATCCAAAGATTCATTAAGCTTTGTAACTAGATGATCAATTTTGTCCTTTGTAGCTGGCTGAAGATAAGATTCAAAAGCCAGTTGACTACTTCCAAACATACACGATTTGACACTTGAATTGTTACTACCTATAGGAAGGTCATCCATATGCAAGTTGGAAAAGTGGCTTTTGTACAAGATAATGGACCTCTCCAATGCTGTTAGGTAGCAATCCATGATTCCAAGATCTGGATTCAAATACTCAGAACGTATGCAAACACCAATTGCTTCAGAGACCAATAAAATCAAATATGGCTGAAACATTTTTGGTGCAGAATGCGTGATAGGGTTAAGAAGCAACGATAAAGATACAATCAGGCTCATCTCAGGAGTCCTAAAATCTTCGCCAGGCTGCCAAAATAAACTGCTGACGAAACATTCAAATGATTTGTCACCAGAAATCGACAGAATAAAATGTGCAGCAATCACCTCCATCACAATTCCAATATCACCATGACCAAAATGGCACATGAATAGCATTTCACTTGTGGAAGACACAGAATCAATTAGCAAAAAGTACTCCCTCAATGACTTATGCATTAGTAGCTCGTCCGCAAATACCTAATATCAAAACTTCAACATTAAGACTTGTGTTTAGCACATTTTATATAATAAAAATTTAAAGGGTGCTTTCTAGTTCAATACTAACAGCAAATACCCTTTTAATAGCACTTATTAATAGAACTTTTCAGTAAAGAGAAAAGTGTATCGAATTGAAATGATTGAGTACCTGAAGCAACGCACATGCGGAAGCAATATTTGTGATAGAAATTCTCTCAGATTTTTCATTTAATTCAACAGAAATCAAAGTGCGAAGTATCGAAAGAAGAACTCGGCCTTTTTCAATTAAAAGACTTTGGTTAGACACCAGCAAGTTCAAGAAAACCATACAACATCTCAAAAGCAAGGCTAGTTCTTGGAGTGATGCCGATGCTCGTCCACAGAGAAACTCTTCAAATCTACCATCAACTTCTTCAAACAGAACATCAGAAAGGCTACATATGTCATTGTCATTTAACTCAGCTTCGATCCAAGACGATTTTATCAGTAGGTAATATAATCTCTTCAAGATTGGCAGCTTTATTCCCTGAAATTTTAGAAAATTATAAGCTAAAAGAAAGTCATGAATAAGAAAAGATGTGGAGAGAGATATGGAGCACCTGTGGAGAATGAACAACAGAGATTAGGGTTGCAGAAGAAAAGGTGGGTTCGGTGTAATTCTTCTTCTTCAGTTGTTTGGCAGCCATTTTCATTAGAGTTTTAGAGGAAGAACAAAGCCCAGATCTTGGGTTTTTGTAGTTGGCGGTTCTCGTTTTCTTTGGTGGGAATTTCCAGATTTCAATTGCAAGTTATCTCCAAAATGGCTACTTTTATTCATTCATTACTATTTAATGGGAGAAAATCACGTACCACCCCTATCTTTCTAGGAAAGTTCTTGTATGATAACTTTTCTAGTTATAATCAAAATCATCCTTTCATTTTTCAAAATATATCACCAACTACTCAAACCCTGACTCGGCTATTGATGAATCGTTCAAAATGACCAATTTACCCTTACTTTCTAAAATTATAAACAATTAAAATGATTTCCAAATAACCTTACCCATTAAACTTAGAATAATACTACACCAACAATTCTCTCTCATAAACCCAATGTGACAACTCGTAATTAGTCAGTTCACAACGGATCTCACATGGATCTCATTATTTAATTACAAACTGATCAATTGTGAATTGTCATGTTATGGTTGTGAGGGAAAGTTTGTGAGAAATGGTTATTGGTGTAATATTACTCTTAAACTTATAGCCCAACCACCGACCCTCATCGCTCCCCCCAAGCCCTTCACCCTTGTCCGTAGTCTATTGAATTGCCTCTACCTTCTAGCATCCCCATCACGCCGAGAACTAAACCTTCTACCATAGCAAAACAATTTCAGATTAACTCTGAAATAGAAATCCTTACCTCCATTCCACACACACAAGCTGCCAATAACACTAGCAAAGCTATCTAGATCAACTAAAAAGAGTCACTCCACAAAAAACATGTAGAACAAGACAATTGAAAAATCCAACTCTGACTACATATCATTGTCGAATCACAACCTCAGAAGCACCGCAAGTCTTCCATTGGATCTACTTACCTTATATGTTTTTTATTTCTACATAATTAAAATACAATTGAAAACCCAAGAGGTTGGTTTAACGGTCAAGCATGTTTACTTAATTTCTTGAATTCTTAGGTTCAAATTGTAGGACCACCTACCACAATAACATTATGGTTTATCTAGCCCTTTGGGTCAATGATTAGTTAAGGAGTGTATAAGTTGATCCGAACACCCTAATTACCAAAAAAAAAAAAAAAAAAAAAAATTGAAACATATTTATATACTATTTTTCATGCCTATATTTTCTTTTTTACTAGGCATAGTCTACTTACATTATATGTTTTCTTGTGAAACTTAAATTCATTGTTATCATATACGTGATTACAAGTTGAAATGCGAATGTGCCAAATAGATATGTGTAAAGCATTCATCCCTTGTTTATGCTACTATTCGATTTTATCAACAGATGATGCATCCAAATTGCTTTATGTGTCAAACGGAAATTTGTTCCCTTGTTTTCGTAAATTGATATTCTTACACATCAAACTATCATACACTATTATTTAAAACGGTTTCTTCCAGTATTCATAGTCTTTCAAAATTTATTTGCCAAATATCCACAAAGAAATCCACTATATATGTCTCAAGAGTTCTGGTAAAAGGCTTTCGTTGAGTTTTCAAGATAGTAATTATGACATAACTCAATTTTGTGCAAGAAAACTGTCTTACACTCGACATGAAAGTGTAAACGTCATCATATTTGTGGGGTTTACTATACATATGTCTCAAAAGTGTCGTAAAAAGATTGTGTAGCGTTTTTAAATTGCTAATTGTGACACAACTCAATTTTACGCAAGTGAATTATGTCATACACTTAATAAGAAAGTGCAAGCATTATCGTGTTTGCAAAATCTATCATATGTATGTTACAAAACTTTTTGTGAAAAACGTTCATAGTGTGTATCATATGTATGTTACAAAACTTTTTGTGAAAAACGTTCATAGTGTGTTTAAGTTGTCGATTGTGACGCAACTCGATTTTGTGTAAGCAAACCGTGTCTTACACTTAGTACGAAATTGTGAAGGTCATCATATTAGCATTCACTACTTATATATTAGTTATCATAAAAAATTTTGTGGTGTTTTCAAGTTGACGAAAGTGACACAACTCAATTTTATGAAAGTAAACAGTGACTTTTACTCAATACAAAAGTGCAAGTGTTATTGTATTTGTGAAATTCATTATATATATGTCACAAAAGTTCTTGTAATGAGCTTTGATAGTGTTTTCAAGTTGTCGATTTTGACACAACTTGATATTATGCAATGAAATCGTGTCTTACACTAAATACGAAATTGTAAGGGTCATCTCATTGACAACATTCACTATATATTTGTCGTGAAAGTTCTCATCAGAAGCTTACATAACGTTTTTGAACTATCGATTGTGACAATTAGATTTAATACAAGTAAATCATGTCTTACACTTAATATGAAATCACAAGTGTCATCATATTTGCAAAATTCCCGATATCTATGTCACAAAAGTTCTTGTAAAAGATTTTTGTAGTGTTTTTGAGTTGTTGATTGTGACACAACTCGATATTATGCAATTAAACCATATCTTACACTCAATACAAAAATGCAAGTGTCATCATATTTGCAAAATCCATTGTATATATGTTACAAAAATTCTCATAAAAGTTTTGTAGAGTTTTCAAGTTGTCAATTGTGACGCAACTCGATTTTATGCAAACAAATAATGTCTTATACTCAATAGGAAAGTGAAAGCTGTCAGAGTAGGTATCCTAGAGCCAATCCACATATTGTATTTTGACTCTCTGTATCATGTATAGATTAATAAAAATGCAGTTATCTTCTATATCATGTAATTCATAATTATATATCTTAATATATGTTTTTAGGATGGTAGAATCGTAATGAGGGTAAGGACCTTATGATAGTAAGGACTTATGATTACATATGGTGACCATTCTAGAAACGTCCTCAACTCCAGTATTATTCTGATTAACTGCATATATAATACGGTAAGACTATCATAATGTTGAATGACCATGTCAAAAGACAGCGATTGATCTTACTTGTCAATGTTGTTTGATGACAACCTGGTGCAACACATGGGTGTTTGTTAAATGCAATTTATTGAACCCCTCAATTATTAGAAACTACTTGAAGACCCCCTACCATTTGTTTTAGGTGTTAAATTTGATGTTGACTAGGTTTGACTAATAAAATGTCTTAATTGCCCCAAAAAAATTAAAATTTAGATCTTTCTGACTATGTTTGACTTGTGGAATATCTAAAGTGCCCTTAAAGCATTTTAGTTTTACATAATATTTTTCTAAAATCTTTTAAATATTTTTAAATTTCCATTAATTTTTTTAGTTTATTTAGAATAAATAGAAAAAGGAACTTATAAAATGTGAAAAAAATTATATTTAGAATTTCTTAAAATTTAATTTAATTTGAAGAAATTAAGAAAATTAAAAATGAACCTCGAAAATTAAAAAAAATTATAAGAAAAAAAAACTGAAATAAATCCAGCCACCAATCCATAACCGGCAAGCTTTGGTGCCAATTGGGCTGGATTTGGCCAATGCGGCTAGATATTGGCTGCTCCAGCCAATAGAGGTGGATGGTTTCCTAGGAAAATGGTTGGTCAAGCCAGGTTGATGGCAAAGCATGGCCATGCCTTGTGTAGCCAATAATTGGCTAGGATCTGGCAGCGTAGGCCAGATCCGACGTTGCAAGGCCATAGGTGTTGGTCGATCTCGCTGGCCAATTTTTTAAAATTTTTTTAACACTTTCTATATATTTTTCAGATTTTTTTTTTTCAGTTTTCATATTCCTTAACTTTTAATTCTTTTTAGATTTTAATATTTTCAGATCTATTTTGTTGATTTGTTTATGTTTCAAAATATTTTAGTTTTTTTTTTTAGTTTTTAACTTTTTATGTTCTTCTTTTTCTGATTTTAAGAAAAAAAAATTATTTTCATTTTTTAGACTATTATATTATTAATCTATCAATTAATTTTAATTCTTTTATTTTATTCTTTATAAACAAGTTATTTACAAAATATAATATCTTTTTTTAAACTTAAAAAGTCAGTTTTATCCTTCATTTGTTAGAACTAATGGCTAAAAATTAATAGACAGCATGGGGTGTTTTTGGTAGTTTTTGAAAATTAAAGGGTGCCAGAGTTCTTGAGTTTCAGATGTGTCAAATAGTATTAACCCTAGGTTCGTTATAAAAAAAAAAAAATTTGTGTTTAAACAATTTTTTTTTGGTGACTCAGGGCATGTCAGGGCCAATTTATAAGTACCCTGATCAATCATCCGGGTTAAATTAACCTTCGGAGGCCTGAAGTTATTAACTGGATAAACCTTCTAATGACTATCCCTATTAGTAACTAAGTAGAATCGAATTAAAAAATAATACATTTAAGAGTCCTTATCGTCCCACCTAACTATTCAGGATTGGTTAATTGTATGTAAAAATTGAGAGAATAATAACGTAATACACCTGCCATACATTGGCTTAAATTTGGCCAATTATTCAATTAGGGCAAAATTGTTTTTGTTGTTATTTTATTTATTTATTTTGAATCCTAGAAATAATTAACTGAAATAATTAACCCTCTTTCCCATTACAGGTAATGACGTTTTTGTCATTAAGGATTGGGAAAAGTACAATCTCTATCGTCAACGGCCTCTAAATCTCGTAAACAATAAGGACATTTTCAAAGTTTTATAACAAATTAAAATTTAAAAAACCCTGAATTTGTTTGTTTATTTTGAGTTCGTCAAATTTCCAACAGCTATGTTAGATTTAACCGATGGTGGCTATGTTACCGGTGGTGGCTGTGTTGTGGTCTTTGTTTCTAATGGTGCCATTCCGGCAATAGTGACGAAGTAAGTTGTCGACGTAGATTCTATTAACATCACCTAAATCCAATCTGCCAGAAACACGGTTTTACAACGCCTTGAGTTCCGACGAGGCCGACGAAAGAAGTTGTGAACGAAGCTGCCAAGAAACATCGCCTGCGAACGACGAGGTAAGTTCCGACGAGACTAACTAAGAAGAAGGTTAATATTTATTTTTTAATAAAAAATGATTTGTTTAAACTAAAACAAAATTTTTCTCTGATGAAACAGCGT